TGGTGAGGCCACACCTGGAGTACTGTGTGCAGTTTTGGTCTCCTTATTTGAGAAGAGATATACTAGCACTGGAGGGGGTGCAGAGGAGATTCACTTGGTTGATTCCAGAGTTGAGAGGGTTGGATTATGAGGAGAGACTGCGTAGACTGGGATTATACTCATTGGAATTCAGAAGAATGAGGGGCGATCTTATAGAAACATATAAGATTATGAAGGGAATAGATAAGGTGGAGGCAGGGAGGTTGTTTCCACTAGCAGGTGAAACTAGGACTAGAGGGCATTGCCTCAAAATAAAGGGAAGCAGATGTAGGACTGAGGTCAGGAGGAACTTCTTCACCCAAAGGGTTGTGAATCTGTGGAATTCCCTGCCCACTGAAGCGGTTGAAGCTACCTCGCTGAATGTGTTTAAGGCAAGGCTAGATAAATTTTTGAACAGTAAAGGAACTAAGGGTTATGGTGAGTGGGCGGGTAAGTGGAGCTGAGTCTCAAAAAGATCAGCCATGATCTTATTGAATGGTGGGGCAGGCTGGAGGGGCCAGATGGCCTGCTCTTGCTCCTAGTTCTTATGTTCTTATGTTCTATCTCCTTTTTTGAATGTAGGAATTACATGCACAAGTAGTAGGTCTAAATAAGGACTAGGAATTGATACAGGCATGGTGGTCTGAAAGGCCTGTTCCTGTGCTGTATAGAATTGTATTATATTGCATTGCAATCTGTCAATGCTCTGGCACTGTATCTTTTTCTAACGACTTACTGAATATGAATGGTAATGTCGCTTTTGTCTCTTGCCTCAATTTTAACATGAATGCAATCCATCTGGACTAGGAATTTTGTCCTTTCGAGTTTATCTTGTTTACTGAATATGTCATCTAAAGTAATTAAATGCATTTATTAATCATTTCTTCTTTCAGTGCCAGGTTCACCTGTTCTGTCTCCTTGCTGAATACTAAAAGGGAATAACACTTTAACATTTCTGTCAGCTGTAACTAACCTTGGTATTATCCATTCCATTTCTTACTGGTCCAATTCCAATTACAGCCTTCCTTTTTGTTGACAACTATAAAATATTTAACTGTTTTTGTTTTATATTCTCACATGCTTTAATTTCATCTTTGCTTTTGTCTTCCTGTTTCCTTTTACATCTTTTCTAATCTCTTTGTATTTTCTCATATGTATTTCTCTTCTGTACATAATAGCTGCCTCTTCCCCAATCCTTTATTTGAACCCTTCTGTCTTAATTCACCCATGGAATCCCACATGCATTTATGTTGCTTTTTTTTTCTTTTAGAGGAATATATTTCCTCTGCATTCGATAAATCTGGGATATAGAGTTAATGTTGATCATTCCCAGGGCAGCTCCCTTTTGACTCTTTATCATTGTGGTGCCACCTCTGGTGCATTTCTCCCAAACTTCTAGATTTAAAAACACAACATTCCATCAGCCTTTTAAACTCTTTTCTGTCTCTGTTGAAGATGTTTTAGACTGTTTACTCCTCTGCTTTTTTTTCAGCTAATTTTGGAATGGTTTGATACAACTGAGACAGTTTTTATGCCAGTTCATATCACAGGGAAGAGTCAACCACGTTTCTGTAGGTGTGAAATTGATTATAAGTCACACCTGGTAAGGGCACACAATTTCCTTCCCTAAAAGACATTAGTAACTGATTGATTGTTTTTAGAACATAAATATAGAACAGCACAGCCTAGGCATAGGCCCTATGGCCATAAGACATAGGAGCAGAAATTAGACCATTCGGCCCATCGAGTCTGCTCAATTATTCAATCATGGCTGATAAACTTCTCAACCCATTCTTCCGCTTCGTTCCCGTAACCCTCTATCCCCATGACAATCAAGAACCTATCTATCTCTGTCTTAGATATACTGAATGATCTGGCCTCAGCAGCCTTCTGTGGCAATGAATTCACCATGTCCGTGCCAATTAAGGTGCCATTCTAAACTAATTCCATCTGTCTGCACATGATCCATATTCCTCTGTTCCTTGTTTGTTCTTATGTCTGTCTAAATGCCTTTTAAATGTTGCTAACATATCTGCTTCTGTTACCCTCCCCCCGGCAGTGCGTTCAAGAACCTACGACCTTCTGTGTAAGAAGCTTTCCTTGCGCATCACCCTGATATTTCTCCCCTTTCACTTTAAATCTCAGCCCCCTAATATTTTGAAATTTCCCCCCTGGGAAAAAGGCTGACCATCAACCTAAGTTTTATATACTATCAGGTCACCCCTCAGCCTCTGATGCTTGAGCAAAAACAATCCAAGTTTGTCCAACCTCTCCTTATGGCTAATATGCTGCAATCCAGACAAAAGTCTTTTGCACCCTCTCCAAAGCCTCCAAATTATTCCTGTAGTATGGTGCCAGAACTGCACACAACACTCCAAATATGGCCTAACTACAGCTACAACATGACTTAACAACTTGTATACTCAGTGACTTGGCTACATCTGTGTCCTGGCAAAGTACACCCTATTTTACGAGAAGGCCAAACTTCATCGTGACCCAAGAAATGATCTAGCAGTGACGCTAATTTTCCCTTCTCAGCAGATTGCTGTCACATTCTGGAATGGGCAGTTGGGCTAATCAGCATTTGATTGAAAGGGCTGTAGTAAAGGTTAAGTTAATATTTATCTTTTTTCGATGCATTACATTCAAAATCTATTTTTTCATTTGTGAAGTGACTTTAACTGCAGTGTTGCAAGAGAAGCTTCATAATTGTAAGAAAAGAAAATCTTTTTCTTTTAAACAAAGTTGCCAGATAAAGTTTTGAATTAATATTCCAGTCGATGGATGCACGAATTCCCAAGATATTTTTTCAATTTAAACTCTGACACCAATTCAAAAAATTAATGTATTGAGTTTAAGTTTTGGAGGCTATATTTGTTAAAACTTTCACAATTTCCATCCTTGTGGACCTCACACAAGTAACACATTCTGGGCATAATGCCCAGACACTGATTCATTTCAAAATTTCCATTCTTTTCCTTTTTTGTCTGCATAAGATAACTTTATTGGGCATTTATTCTTTGTTGTATATGTTTGAGTTTTCATGCTTTTGTTAGGGAAAGAATAAAACTCATTTTCTCTGCTTTTTAATGCATGCATAGTTTCTAGAGTTAGGGATGAGACCGTAGAGTCTCGATCACTTACATTTTCTGGTAGCTTTTGCCTTTCTTTTACATTAGTATTTGTTAATGCTTTATTGCAGGCTCAAATCTGTGCTTCATTGAGCAATAACTAAAGAAATGAAGAGAATGTAGTTTTTATATATTCTCCCTTTGCAGTAATCAGTTGTTAGGATTTTTTTTTAAAGTGCGGAGCCTTCATGATGTGGCCTGCGCTCAGTGTCAAAATATGACATACTCAACAACTGAGAAAATGTGGAGTATTTTGGAAGAAAATGACAAAAGGCACATTACTTTGCTATTCAGAGGAAATAATGACAAAATTATAACAGAAATCCAGTCAGCTGTTGGATGGCTGATCAATGCGAGGACTTGAAGCTTGAATTCTTAGATTACCAATTATAAATCTCATCTTTTTGACTGGAACACAGGAAAAAAGGAAGTAATTTAGTGCTTATCAACTGCTTTTTCATGTCAAAGTAAATGAAAAGAATTTTTAAAATGAAGTATTAACCATCACCAGTAATTACCCATGCAACCAATTAGAGATTTACATGCAAAGCCCATTATAGGCGATGTGAACCATCAAAAGTGAAGTGTAGGGGTTAGGGAGAGTGGGAACTAAAGCACTGTCTTCCCCCATGGTGCCCACCTGTATCTCTGAAGACATCAAGAATGCTTGCTACGTCTCTAGTGACAGCCAGGAAATATATTTGTTTAAAAACTGAAAAATCAACTGATTGCAACTGTGTACATTCAGTGGCTTGTTGAGAATGAGGGAACTTCAAAGCTGGTTTGACTTAAATGTGCTTTTAAGAGGGATTTGTCTATCCTGGTTCTCTTGAAGCAGGTTGGGGAGGGATGTTATAAACCTGGTGTCAAGGTATCTACTCCATGGAAAGCAGAGTAAGTAGCTTTGGGTTATTTTTAAAGGAGGCAGAAGAAGCATGAGTGGATGGAGTCAGGCTCACATAGACCCAGAGTTTTAGTTTAAGCTTTAAGTTGCTGAAAGTGGAGTTTCTAGAGTTGAAACTGCTGGATACAAGGCTCTCTCTGCTGCTATATTTCATGCGTCTGGTTTTTCCTTTCCCCTGGACTGGAGGAGATAGCAAGTAAGAAAAATCTGTTTTGCTGAATTTGTCTTTGCTAATGGTATCTTTATGGATGCTGCTGTATTGGAACAGTTGATGAGTATAGCTAAATAATATATTATTTTGTTTGATATTTTGATAAAGTTAAAGTTGTACCAATTCTTCTTTTGTTTGTGTTTTAACTGTGGTGAGAGAATAAAGTGTGTTTGCTTAAAGCCGAGTAGTTTGACCAATCAAATCACATCTAGAACAGAGCACCTTACACTTGCCCTCAAATAAGATAAAATTTAGGGTCTAGGCTATCTCCTTGGTATGGCTGAGTGGTTTGGTCTGGTCTATAACCTTAGAGTTCATGTGCATAATAAATCAAGATAATTTAATTTATATATCAGTTTACTTCCCAACACTACAGTCAGTTTGCCTAACATCAATTGTATGATTCTTGACCTAAGATATTTTGTCTGTAAGTAACTTTTGAAATACTCTGCGAATGTAGACAATTAGATCACAAAGGCATTGCTAGTGTGTATACAAAAAGATATTTTTGAAATGTTTTGCTGCTGCTGTCAAAAGTTTAATTTATAATTGTATGTAATTAGACTGGTTTTAACCAACCTGAACAAAAAAGAACAAAATGCAGGACTTAAGCAGTTCAAGTAGTGGCATTGGAGATAGAAAGTTTTCAGATGTGATGACCCAATGAAACAGTTTCTAAACTGTTTGATAAACTACTGAACAAGTGAATTAATCTTTTCTTTCTCTGTTTCTGCAGTGAACAAAGTATATGCCAGGCGCGAGCTGCTGTTATGGTGTACGATGATGGCAATAAGAAGTGGGTACCAGCTGGTGGAGCAACTGGATTCAGTAGAGTACATATTTACCACCACACAGGCAACAACACGTTCCGAGTAGTGGGGAGAAAAATTCAGGACCATCAGGTAGAACTTTAGTTTTATGCTGTGGACATCTAGTTTCAACATTTTCATGATTTCCCTTCAACATTTTCATGATTTTTCTGAGTTTTCATGAGCTGTTCCCTTAAATTTTGTTTTATTTTACTTGATTTTTGTTGCAACTTACTTTGTGTGTGGCAATTTTGGTGTGTTCATGACAAAATAAAGCTTCATTTTTCAATTTTTATTCAGCATTTTCTCAGGTGTTTAGAATAGCCATATAGTTGTGACAATTCCTTATTTTACATATTGAGCAGACAAGTCATATGGCTATTGTCTGTTAATAATTAATTTTCAGCTCTGTGTATTGATGGCATGGAAGGCTGGCATTTATTGCCAGACCTGCTTCATTTTAGAAAATTGGTGGTGGGCTGCCATCTTGAACTTGTGTTCTCCATGTGGTATAGCTAGTCCTGCAGTTTCATTCCATAGGGAGTTCCAGAATTTTGATAGTGACCTTGAATGTATGTTCATGTGGAGATGGTGGTTCTCCCGTGTACCTACTGACTTTTGTCTTTCTGGGTGGCCAAAGCCATGAACTGATAGGTATTGCTAAACAAATTATTGTGAATTATTTCAGTACGTCCTGTAATTGGTGCACGTAGCAGCCATGGTAGAATACTGGCGGATTTAGTGGATGTTAAAGTCAGTGGATAGGGTGTTGAACAAGCAGACTGACTTGATCTGGGCACCTCTTGTAGCTAGACCTGTTCAGTAAGCAGAGAGTACTCAACTGCGTATCTGACTGTGCCCTGAAAGTGATAGAATTTAAGAATTAATTAATTGGGATTGTCATAGTGTAAAGGATTTAGAGGGAACAAATGTCTTAAGATGTATCTGGGAAAGCTTTTTTATATCAGCATGTAGAAGATCCAACACGGGACGGTGTAGTGCTGGACCTACTTCTGGGGAATGAAGCCAGACAGATATTTCAGATGGCAGTGGCAGAGCATTTTAGTGACCACAATTCCATGCTTTTGAAGTTTATATGGAAAAGAAAAAGATGGTCTACAAAAAAGGGTTTTGGATTGGGGAAGGCAGATTTTATTAAAATAACCAAGGATGTGGCCAAAATAGACTGCGAGCCGATTGATTGATTTTTTATTGTCATGCGTACCGAAATACAGTGAAAAGCTTTGTTCAGATCAAAAAGACTTAGAGGCATACAGGTTACGTTATTTGAGGCCAGAGTCCATTCAACAGTCTG